AACACCATTCACTGTCTCTCTCTCCATTTTCTTCAAGACCATTCATCCTTCCATCACATCTATTCACTAATTAATGTATTATTCTTTTTTCACACTTCTCTTATTTTGAAGATGTCAAAACTCCATCCAACCACAACTGCCTTGATTCTCCTTATCATCTTGACCCATTTACTCTTCCTTCATACATCAGGTTTGCAATTGAATGTTCATTATTTCTCTTTATATGACCAAAGCACCTCAACATTTGTCTTTTGTATTGGTCACTCTTTTATATTCAATTGACATGTATCAAAATCCATTCATTCTTGAATGCATCACTTCTTTTTCTATGCACACTTAACAGGGGTTGAATGAAACAAAAAAATATGTTTTGCTTTATGTACTGAGCAAACACTTGTGTCTTGGAAGTTCAGCCAGATTATTCCAGATGGTTCATGATATAACTGAACCAAAACCTCAAACATTTATGTTGTTCTTAGTTTGAAGCAAAGCAAATCTGGAAGTATCTTAAAGTACAAGTAAGCCCAAATGTAATTTTTCATACTTCCCATTAGCTTAACTCCACATACTTCTATGACACTCTGTAACATAATTTTTCTCATTCTGCTCCAAGCATCTTCCACATCCTCTTTTCTTATATCCACTTCCCATTCATTCTGTTGGGAGATTAATCTATCTTTTAATACCTTTTCATACAGGACATGCATTTGCTATTCCTGCAGTCATCCTATTTTCCTTTTTTATTTCTTTCACTTTTTACCCATTTTCATTTTATTTCTAACTTATGAATGAGTTTCTTACAGATGTAGACTGTGCATGGATGATTATAATGAAATATGGTAATCCTTAATTGAAACATTTGTGTAAACATTCTATATACAAATGCATGTATGAAATGCCCATGTATTTGTTTCGTTTCTTTTTTGCTCCCTCCCACTTTCTTTCTTTTAATTAACTTAAGGTCAGGCATACTTACATACATAGTTATTTTGGATGAGACACTAGGAGAAAAAAATAATATTAACATCATTTAACATCATTTTCCCCCAAACTCATCCATGGTTCTTTCATTATTACCACTAAATGCAGCACAACATGGAACTATTACAAACCTATAGATTCCTACTTTCATACATACCCGCAACATAAATGATAGCTATCTATACTAACTAGCATATATTTCATTCTTTTCATTGAGAATTAAACCTACACCTTTATTTCCCTGCAATAGGTCACAGATTCTATAAGATTAGACCAACTTTAGTTTTTTTATATACTTTCCCTTTTTCTTAGTTTCACAGACACATAATATGTCTGTTTTTCTTTTATTCATTTCATTCCTTAATTCGTGGTTGTTTATTCCTCTCACATTCCAAGTTACAATCTTTCATAAGCCATGGTTGTTATAAGTTAGACTTACAGACATTGCTCATCATGACCTTGGTCACTTGAGGCTTTCACACAACGCTTTTTAGTAAAACAGAGAAGGCACTGACTGGCCTTCGTCTTAGCTGTGCCACATTCAGCATTCCCTCCTAACAGTAAAGACAGCACTGGTTAGTTTTGACACATTTTGGCCAGTATTCCACAAATGAAATGAAATTTTATTTTGCTATATTATTATTAGAAACTATCAGGAAATGCACTGTCTATTGTTCAAAATAAATTGATCTAACTAATCCTTTATTTTTGTAATCTTTTAAAGTAAATTATGCTTTATCCTTAAGCTTCACAAGTGTTTTTGAGCTTATACTATTACCTCTTCTAGTACACTGAATACCTAGCTTATAAAGGTCATTTATGGAAACTTAAAAACATCCAAATCATTAGGAAAACACTTAGAATCCTTTATAAAAATGAGGTACCATCTTTCAAATAATTAATGCTGTCACAAATCACCAATCATCTTTCTAAAACTAGAATCCAGAAACAAATACCACCTTGGATTTATTCAATCTATGCAAATCAAGGCAGAAATTTATGAAGATAATTAAATCCTAGCCTGTATTTCTCCATATTGAAAAAAAAATAAAATAAAATGTCCCTATTTCTTTTTTTATTCATTTTTATTGAAGAATTTTATGCAATAGTAAAAATGTTGCAAATTTAAGAAAACGAAAAAAGGATAAAGAAATGTGTGAATAAAGAAAAGCAAAAGTGAAAAAGGAAAAGGAAAAGGAAAAGGAAAAGGAAAAAAAGTATAAAGAAGTGGTTTCTAATCCTCTTTACAGCAATTACAAATAAATTTATCATGTGTCCTCCCTTTTTAAGGTTACATCATGATTCCCTTCTTCCCATATTTTACCCTTTCCATTCATCAAATCCATAAATCACCAGTTCATTTTTTTTGTGTTTTCAGCAAAAAGTCCATAAAGGATTTCCAGTCACTAATGAATGTATTTGTTGCCTTTTCCCTAATCAAACAAATCAATTTTGCAATTTCTGCAAATCTGTAATATTTACCATTCCTCCATTGTAGATATTTCCAAATCCTTCCATCTTTGTACATATAATAATCTCACTACAGTTACCAAATATAAAAACAATCTTCCATGAGTCTTATTAATGTCCCTATTTCTGAAAGCTGTGCTAGATGCCTGAATAACTGAGCAGGCATCTTAAAGTTTATCAGTACTGAATACTAGCTCAACTAGAAGAGCTCCTGTGGAATGATCTAAGATGTGTCAGCATTATTTTCACATCACTCAAGGCAAGAAGCCAGATTTAAAATTAAATCAAATCATATGTTCTTGGCCACAATCTATGGACTTACCGAACTAACTGTCACAATGATTCATGAATGTCAGGAACATGATGAAGCAGCTATTCCATGAGGCTTCCCCAGGTACTGATGCCACAGATTTCTGTTACTACAGATTTATTTAATGTTCTGACACAATGTGTCCCACCCATTTTTCTTATAGACCAACATATAATCATTCAGATTTTCTCACTTTCATTTGTATCTGCTTATAACTACCCTAAAATAGTAATTCAATTACACAACCATATCTTTAATTTAAACCAAAAACTAGGATTGTAAAAGGAAATCCAAGTGTCATTTTGCTTTATTAATTAAAAACTAAGGATGGCATAACAGTTAAGGCATAACTGAAAATGCCCAAGATCAATTAAAGGCTAAGGGATTTGTCAAGATTCATCCAATCTTGTGAAAAATTGGCTATTTTTCAGACACAAATCACTTAATGTTGTTTTATATTAAATGTGAAAATAACTTCAGTTATTTCTGAGTTGTTCAATTATGGGTCTCTTGGATGGACAGTTTCTTGTAGCAAACACTATTCCCGCAGGAGGAATATCTTTCATATACATATATGAATACATATATCTTTCAATACATGTAGAAATTAGAGATAAGGTCATACTTCCTATTGCTATACACTGTATGGAGTATTGTACAACTCCAACAAAACACAAATAAGGTCAGTTTGGCAATTACAATCTTTGCTTATTCCTTGCAATATTGGTTAACAAAGCCCTGATCTTCTGAATTCTATATATGTCCTGAAAGATACTATGTCTGCCATATCTGTATAAATTTCAACTGAGTATCATATGACCCTTATTTGTAAGGTCTCTTGAATTGCACATAACAAAAAGATAAAATTCATGATTGTGAAAATGCCATGGGTAGTAGAAGTATGCTTAAGTCCCAACATTGCTTGCACTTTAGTAAGCACTGATAACATTGGCATTTATGTCCGCTGAACTTTTGATGAATAGCGAATATCCTATGACATTTATATCCACTGATTGGACATCATGTGTTCAGTGTATACTTCTGAAATCAAGAAAATATTAACCTCCTGCCATCTGTATAGTATTGTATTTTATGTTATTATTATGATTGTTAAGGTTGCATTAGTATTGTTTTTATGATTTTTTTACTGGTTAGGGGTTAAAGGGCAGGTTCAGACCAAGCATAACTCAATAGATTTTTCTGGACTAAGAAAGACTAGGGCTACCCTATCTGGCCTGCAAATTTCCACATGACCACAGGATGGCAGCAAAGATCAGATAACTCTCTTTGCTATCATCTAGAGGCCACATGGATGTTAGTAATATATAATAGCCTTAACTAGCCATTTTAATGACAATAAAAGAAACTGTAATTTAATAAGTTTAGACAGCACCAGGTTGGGGAAGACTGCTTTAACTTAGCTAATGATTATGTGAAAAAGTCATATAAACAGGATAAATTGACCTCCTTCTGAAATATTCACACATCTAGAAACTGCAAACCAAGATTTTAAAAGTTAAAGTGAAGTTCGCTTTTCTATTTCCTCAGTGTATTAGTGCCAAATATAAATACAGTTTTCAACATGTATGATGAGAATGACATGGAACTAAAATACAAGCCAGACTGGTACCTTAGGTGTTTTTAAGCCTCTCATTAGGAACTCTTTAATTTCAGTCTCAGGAATTTCAAAACCCAACCTCCAGAAATATTCCCTTGATTCTCTGCGGAATAGGAGTGAAAATGGAATAGTGGGATAGACAGAAGGGGGAGAAGTAAAATATCCCAGCATGTATGACTATTAACCTCTTCCTGTCCACCTTCTTCCATATCAGTATCCCTGGGAAAGCAAGAATACATTCATAACAGCACAATCCAGAAATCAGCTGGCTTGAATGTAGGGTACCAATTCTTAACACATCAATGATCTATTTTAAAAAATCAAATGGCTTCCTCTCCTCCCCCTCAGAAAAGGAAAGTCCGGCCAATTTTTATAAGCAAACCCAGACCTAATTTGCAAGGGTGATCATTATATCTTCTTATGAGGCTTTAGCAAAAATATTTCTATCTGAACCATCAACCTTTCTGTATTAGTGGCCAACTCTGGACCTATGCAACATGAATAGTTGGAATGACATGAGGGAAGCACAAAGTAGTAATCATAATAATAATGAAAGAAGTCATGAAAGCAAGCATGAGCACAAACCTCAGACACTCAGAGAGAGAGAGAGTGAGAGAGTACCTGGAAAGTTGTGAGTGCGCCAGTCCCTGGGTTATACAGGCATCGCAGTGAGGGCATGCTGTCCGCCAGGCTGGAGCAGCCCAGCCACAGAGACCGGGGCATAGAACACTGCAGAGAAAGGACAACTATGAGATGGGACTGTATGAAACAGGATGGTACAGAATATAGGAACTTCTAAGTCTGTAGTTAAGTTCTCAGCAAAATTATAGCTTAGTGTTAAGAGACTGGAGTAGCTTCCACGCACCCACAAGTTACTGACCTGTATGCTCCCCTTAGAGAAAAGCTGAAAGGAGAAGGGCAAGGTAGGAAATACCACACTACTTGCACACACAAATAAGGCTAATTAAATTTGTCATTAACATTTCATACCATTTTGTTTGCAAAAGTATTCTAATTCAAAAGAGTCAATTCAATGCTTTTAGTGGATTTAAATTACTTGCTTTTTTAACCCATTAGCCAACTAATTAAAACAAATATTATAAAACCTAGCATAAGTATCATCAAGCTAATTCCCTGAGTAATCTTTCCTTCATAGAAATTCACCTGGCTCTTTCCCCACACATCTTAATCATGGCTACTTGTCATTATGGCAGGTACTTTAACATTTATCATCTATTTCTACCTAGGGGTTAAAACTGGTTACAGTAAACACAGTTAACATCTATATTTACATGTTGGAAATTGAGACCAGAGATAGAAAGATAACATTTACATTTTACATTTATACCTTGCCTTTCCTCCAAAAAGCTGAAGGCAACACAAGTTTCCTCTTCCATTTCTTATCTTCATAACATGTGTAGGTTAGATTAGTTACTAGTATAAAAATACCCAATAAACTTTAGGGCTCGAACACAAACTTCTGCCATCTTAATCATGGACCTATCCATTACATTACACTAACTTACAGGCACTTCCATTTCTATGATACTACTGTACACTGATAATGTGTTTGATTTAGTGTTAAATTTAAATTGTTACATAAACTGACCCTGACTGCTTTGCCATGACTATTGGGTGGGCAACATTATAACCTGATTTGTATACCACAGTATGCCATAATGTGATTATCTTCTGCTTTGGACTTCACCTGTTCTATGCATCCAGCTACCATGATTGATAAACTAAAGTTTATGCTTAGCACAAGTGTGAACCCAGCCAAATGTAGTTTGTTCAGCAAACTACATTTACTGCAAAATTTGAACTCAGCCTCAGATCCACTTCTATTCATCTTGGTGTTGCACCAGTCTGTTTCTAAAGGATATTTACCAAAAACAAACTGCTGAAATGATTTACCCTTTGGAAAACTATCTCAAAAACTTTGCTTCAATAGATTCATATGTCATTTGCATTCAATACTGCATCCATTTCTAGGGATTACAAATGAATCAATGTGTAGCACAGTATTTTTAGCCCACTTCTAAGTATAACCTCTATAGTTCCTCTGTTGTCTTTCTCCCATTGAAAACCACTACTAGACATAATGTGAATAGTTCTACAATATAAGCAGTAGAAAGAGTAGAAGTACTGCATTATAAAATAATATATATTATATTATAATTATATCATATTACATTATAATAATACACAAAAATAAAAGGGAGGCGTATTAGGCATGTTCACCGCTTGGAGTTATATATGAAAAAAAAGGTGGGATAAATATAATAATATAATAATCATATGAAGGGAAGAAAAAATGAATCAGAGTTTGAAGAAACATATAACAGCTTTACTGTTTAATCAGCTGTTTTCTCCTTTTGCTATTCAAAGTAAGGTTATAGAAGTCAACTACAAGGAAAGTCATTACATTTTCAAGAAATTGGTCAGCTAAAATGTAACGAATTCACTCATACCTTTTTTACATAGAAATGAATTTAATATTAGAATTGTATAGTATTTATTGGCCAAGCTGGTCAAATCCTGACCTGCAGACAGACAAAACAAGATTAATGGAGATAGTATATAACTAATCTCCAACTAAAGAAAAAGTAGCAAGACAGGAAAGAGCAAACGGATGAGTGAAATTTTCAAGAGCTGTTTTAACGGTTTTATGCTTGTCTTTTTCATAAGGAATATAAGCTTATATCCAGTGATCGCATTCAGATAATTCAACGTTGGGCTTGCTAGTTGCAGAAAGTGCATGAAGTACTGCAGGTCTGAAAAAAAGCTTTTGCAAGGTTCACCTTGTCTGTCCAAGTGCAGTCCCTGGGAAATTCTAGCTGGAACAAACACAAAGCATTTCTAGTTTGTTTTAAATTTGTTTATGCTGACACTCTGTACTAGAAATCACTTTGGTCCTATGCTCAGAACATATATCATGCCAAAAACAAGCTGTAGACAACTTGGTAGAAGGGAGGCAAGCTAAGAGCCCAGGTTTGGTCATTTGCCCAAATACATTTCTTATTAATTTAGCTACTGCAGGTTGCAAAAGGAATCAAATGGAGGTCACTGTGCAGTATCATTAATAAGCCAGATTTTTTAGCAAGTCTGGCTTGGTGTTTTGTGCAAACAGGATTTACTTCCTATTGAGGAAAATTAACTAGGATTGCACTGTAAAGCTTAAAACTGTATTTTGAACTTGATTTAAAACCAGGCTGAATTTCAAGGCCAAGCCCTGCCTCTAGATTAAGGTAATTTCTAGCATGCAATTATCTTGCATGAGGAATGGAGGAAGACTGTCTGAAATATGATCAGTCTCTGACAAATAGGAGGAGAGCTGTGTTAATCTATGATAGTAAAAAATCAGGAGGAGTCTGATAGCACCTCTTCCAACCAACAATTTTTATTAAAAGGCATAAGGTTTTACCATTCTATGCATCTGATGAAGTGAAGTGCATCTCATGAAAAACTCTACTAAATTTGTTAGTGAGAAAAGATCATACCAGCCTCCTTATTCTGGGGTCTCTGGCAAGTAGCATTAAAGGGTCATAATATCTATCAAGCCCCATTTCCAATATTATACCCACCTTCCTGCTTTCTCTAAATACTATCTTGTTCACTACCACTTGATCCTTTTCTGTTGTCTCTGAAATTGCCACTCCCACTGTAAAAGCAGTAAAGGCTCTATTTTTTTCTCTCGTTGCCTCTAGAATCAACAACTTGCTGTCAGTAAAACCTGCCTTTATTCCTTGAAATGGCTATTGCTCTTGCCTTTAGAGATCCCAATCTCAACTTGCTCCAAAGATCAGAGGGAATTTTTTTTCTTTTAAAAATGTGCTGGTCCCATAAGCTACCTATCTCCTTGTTTCTCCTTGTCTTCTTTGATATTGTCCTATACCCTACTCTTGATAATCCTTTGTCTCTGCTGCATCTTTTGTGGAGCAGCATCTTTTTAAAAAACTTTGCTCTTTGGTGATCTGATGTCTTCTGATAAGTCTTTTGATTCAGTTACTTCACATCTCATAATTTTATCTTTTAAGTCCAGCTCTGAAAAGTTTCAATCAGGCAGCAGCATATATCTGAGACCTCGAAGAGCCACGTCGAGTTAAAGTGGATATTATGAGATACATGGATCATTTATGTGAGCTAATATAATGCAGCTACCTCTGTTCCTACAGATGAATTCCATCCATGCCTCAGGCACTCTTGATCTTGTCTTCACCAAGAATGATGCAGTCTTTACTTCTCTACAATGGAATTATCTCTGCCTAGTCTGATCTCCCTCAACATTACTTCCAATCTACTTTTCTATCTTCTCCAGCCTTTGCATCTGCATTTTCTATTCATTGTTTCCTTACTTTGACATGCTTACGCTACTTTCCCAACTATTCTCTCTTCTCATCCCCAATTATGCTCTTGCAAAGTTCAGTATATCTAGGGAGGAAAAAGGAAATGGATTGTTTCACCTATTAAAAGCACATCATTTCCTTGACTAATATCTGCATGACCAATTAGTATTGTACTATTCTGATCTATTCCAGTCATAGGCACCCTTAGAGCCTCTTTTAAATTTTCAAAACAATTCGTAGGCCTTTCTCACCCCACTTATCACTACACTTTCAGCTAAAGATCTGTCTTCCTCTTTTAATGCAAAAAGAGAAAACATGTCTATTGAATTTGCACTCATAAAATTGTCATCTCCTCAGAAAGAGATTTTAATTATTACTCCAGTCTTATTTTTCTTGACTTCCCTGCCACTTTTAATACAATAGTTTAGTCTCCTGTACCACTGCTCTTATGCTCTAGACCAGGGGTCCTCACACTTTTTAAACAGGGGGCCAGTTCACAGTCCCTCAGAATGTTGGGGGGCCAGACTATAGTTTGAAAGCAACATGAACGAATTCCTATGCAAACAGAGGATCCCTCCCGCAGAGTATGAGGAGAGGAGGAGAGCCGCCGGACACGGCATACCTGTCATGTAGAATAGTCCGGCTCTGTGATCTCCCTCCTCGTGCATCGCCTGCAGCTCCCAACACAGCCCCCACCCCTCCGCCTTGATATGAAGGGCGGGTCAG